GTTTTATCCCGTATCTATCTTCAATTACATATGCTTGGTGTGGATTTGCAGCTGTTGTTGCTGAAGGGTTTGTAGCTGTTAACATAACTTTCCGTAACACTGCTGGAGCGAGCAAGGGTCAAGCAGTGGCACTAAGAAGTGGAGCAGATTTGTCAACATTCTATAGCTGCAGCTTTGAAGGGTATCAAGATACATTGTATACACATTCTCTCAGGCAATTTTATCGAGAATGTGACATATATGGCACCGTTGACTTCATATTTGGAAATGCTGCCGTTGTTATGCAAAACTGCAATATCTATTCTCGTCTCCCTCTGAAAGGACAATTCAACACGATCACAGCTCAAGGAAGAACTGATCCGAATCAAAACACAGGAACTTCCATACAGAATGCAACTGTGAAAGCTGCTGATGATTTGGCTCCAGCTGTTGGCACCGTAGAAACCTACCTTGGGAGGCCATGGAAGGAATATTCAAGGACAGTTATCATGCAGTCCTTTATGGACAGTTTTATAAACCCTGCTGGTTGGCATGAATGGAGTGGTGATTTTGAATCGAGTAGCTTGTACTACGAAGAATATAATAACACAGGACCTGCTTCTAACACTTCCAACAGAGTCACCTGGCCTGGTTATCACGTCATCAATGCCACAGATGCATCTAATTTCACCGTCTCTAACTTCTTGGCTGGGGATAATTGGATTCCCCAAACTGGGGTCCCATACTTAACTGGCTTGATACAGTAAACTAAAATGTTCTTCAATGTTTATTTTCGTAATCTGTATGATTTAATTTCTCAATAAGTATTTGCTTAACAAAAATAAATAAAAATAAAAATACGATCAAGAACATAGTGAACAAGATTAAATTAAAACACTTTTATTAATACTAAAAAAATTTAAATACACAATCTCAAATAATACGGTGCATCGTTTAATGATTTTTAAACAACAAAATAGATATTTAATGTAGGCCAAAAATAGGCATTAAATAGTTATTGGTGTCGGATTTGTGTCGATTAGTGTTGGTTTTAAAAGTTGACCCTGAGTACAGTCGATGCTAATTTATTAATACTTCTTAAATTGTTTTTCTAATTGAATTTGTTTAGCATTATTAAGGCGACACAAACACATTTTTATTTTATTATTTATTTGTGTTAAGTAAAGTTTATTTTTAATATTAGTTTAATTGGTATTGATATGGCCAATGCTAATGCAATAGTATAAAAATATCTCATGCAATAGTATAAAAATATCTCATGCAGTACCTCTATGTTAGTATAAATGAAACAAATAGGAAAAAAGTTATAACACATGAAGGAGACAAGTATAGATAAAACATATGAGTGTTCATAAAAGAGATGAGTTTAAATAAAGAAAATAAGGAGAAGAATGTGGATGAAGTAGATGAGAAAAAAAAATGTATAGGAGAAGAGACGTGTGTGAATAAAAAAGATGAAATTACCAAAAAAAATATTAGAAAAAGGAGGTAGGGGTGAACAGTGTTTTTAAAATCTTTTTGGAAGATAGCGACTAATAACTTGTAAAAAAAATGTCTAAGGATTTTGAAACGTATAATGTGAGTAAATGGAAAATGTTTTGAATAAGAAACCGCATATTTTTATACTGTTTCACTCAACCTGAGCTACGTCTAGTTCTTCCTTAAGGACCAATAGTCTTTTCATATTTCATGAGTTTTGCCTCTCTATGTCATCGTGTATACTCACCACTCCTGGTTACAAAACACGACTTTTGGTTACAACAAGTATTAGCACCACTCTTGGTTTCCTAGTCAACACGACTAGAATGAGTTTAACCTCTCTAGGATCTAACCCTAGACAACTCTCTAGACATTCAACTCAACCTAAGTTGAACAACCAAGTATTTGAGTTCTCTTCAAAACTTACAACAAATCCACAAATGGGTTTTCTACAAGGTACAGACGAATAACTCTTAGCAAGAGGATATATAATCAAATAAAATACAATTTGGAAAACTTGAAAGTTTTTGTCTCTTTACAAAGATTTTCTCTCAAAAGATATTAAGTGTCAGACAATATAAGAACATTTTAAGTTTTTTTGTCTTTTCACGTTGTTATTCTTCTTATGTTATCTTTCTTGTACTTTTCATCGACAACTTCTTCTCTTTAAGCTTTCTTCTCTCTCTATACATACATATATATATATATATATATATATATATATATGTATGTATAGAGAGAGAAGAAAGCTTAAAGAGAAGAAGTTGTCGATGAAAAGTACAAGAAAGATAACATAAGAAGAATAACAACGTGAAAAGACAAAAAAACTTAAAATGTTCTTATATTGTCTGACACTTAATATCTTTTGAGAGAAAATCTTTGTAAAGAGACAAAAACTTTCAAGTTTTCCAAATTGTATTTTATTTGATTATATATCCTCTTGCTAAGAGTTATTCGTCTGTACCTTGTAGAAAACCCATTTGTGGATTTGTTGTAAGTTTTGAAGAGAACTCAAATACTTGGTTGTTCAACTTAGGTTGAGTTGAATGTCTAGAGAGTTGTCTAGGGTTAGATCCTAGAGAGGTTAAACTCATTCTAGTCGTGTTGACTAGGAAACCAAGAGTGGTGCTAATACTTGTTGTAACCAAAAGTCGTGTTTTGTAACCAGGAGTGGTGAGTATACACGATGACATAGAGAGGCAAAACTCATGAAATATGAAAAGACTATTGGTCCTTAAGGAAGAACTAGACGTAGCTCAGGTTGAGTGAAACAGTATAAAAATATGCGGTTTCTTATTCAAAACATTTTCCATTTACTCACATTATACGTTTCAAAATCCTTAGACATTTTTTTTACAAGTTATTAGTCGCTATCTTCCAAAAAGATTTTAAAAACACTGTTCACCCCTACCTCCTTTTTCTAATATTTTTTTTGGTAATTTCATCTTTTTTATTCACACACGTCTCTTCTCCTATACATTTTTTTTTCTCATCTACTTCATCCACATTCTTCTCCTTATTTTCTTTATTTAAACTCATCTCTTTTATGAACACTCATATGTTTTATCTATACTTGTCTCCTTCATGTGTTATAACTTTTTTCCTATTTGTTTCATTTATACTAACATAGAGGTACTGCATGAGATATTTTTATACTATTGCATGAGATATTTTTATACTATTGCATTAGCATTGGCCATATCAATACCAATTAAACTAATATTAAAAATAAACTTTACTTAACACAAATAAATAATAAAATAAAAATGTGTTTGTGTCGCCTTAATAATGCTAAACAAATTCAATTAGAAAAACAATTTAAGAAGTATTAATAAATTAGCATCGACTGTACTCAGGGTCAACTTTTAAAACCAACACTAATCGACACAAATCCGACACCAATAACTATTTAATGCCTATTTTTGGCCTACATTAAATATCTATTTTGTTGTTTAAAAATCATTAAACGATGCACCGTATTATTTGAGATTGTGTATTTAAATTTTTTTAGTATTAATAAAAGTGTTTTAATTTAATCTTGTTCACTATGTTCTTGATCGTATTTTTATTTTTATTTATTTTTGTTAAGCAAATACTTATTGAGAAATTAAATCATACAGATTACGAAAATAAACATTGAAGAACATTTTAGTTTACTGTATCAAGCCAGTTAAGTATGGGACCCCAGTTTGGGGAATCCAATTATCCCCAGCCAAGAAGTTAGAGACGGTGAAATTAGATGCATCTGTGGCATTGATGACGTGATAACCAGGCCAGGTGACTCTGTTGGAAGTGTTAGAAGCAGGTCCTGTGTTATTATATTCTACGTAGTACAAGCTACTCGATTCAAAATCACCACTCCATTCATGCCAACCAGCAGGGTTTATAAAACTGTCCATAAAGGACTGCATGATAACTGTCCTTGAATATTCCTTCCATGGCCTCCCAAGGTAGGTTTCTACGGTGCCAACAGCTGGAGCCAAATCATCAGCAGCTTTCACAGTTGCATTCTGTATGGAAGTTCCTGTGTTTTGATTCGGATCAGTTCTTCCTTGAGCTGTGATCGTGTTGAATTGTCCTTTCAGAGGGAGACGAGAATAGATATTGCAGTTTTGCATAACAACGGCAGCATTTCCAAATATGAAGTCAACGGTGCCATATATGTCACATTCTCGATAAAATTGCCTGAGAGAATGTGTATACAATGTATCTTGATACCCTTCAAAGCTGCAGCTATAGAATGTTGACAAATCTGCTCCACTTCTTAGTGCCACTGCTTGACCCTTGCTCGCTCCAGCAGTGTTACGGAAAGTTATGTTAACAGCTACAAACCCTTCAGCAACAACAGCTGCAAATCCACACCAAGCATATGTAATTGAAGATAGATACGGGATAAAACGATATATATATTTTTGCACATACGTATACAACACATTAGTCATAAAATTTATCGTATATGCAGGTGCGTGCAAATTATTTTTTTTACCTACTGTTGCTGAGTTGAATGTTGTAAAATTATCTCCAACACTGTGATTGCCCGTGATGATTGTCCGATTGATCCCATCTCCAACAAGCATTAAATACGTCTTGCTTTTGGCAATGGATACATATTCCTGGTACACTCCCTCAGTGATGAAAACAAGGAAGTACCCATCACCAGCAACTGTGTTGTTTGGTGCAGCAGCAATTGCATCGTTGATAGTGGTAAAGTTTCCGCTTCCATCTTGACTAACAACCACGATGTCACTAATAACAACACTTCCGCCATTATCAGTGGTTAGTAGTTTCCTCCCATGGTGTCTGAGTCATAAATAGCACGTACTCGATCTGACATGACCAATGGCAAGCGACCATTTTTTAAATTCAAATGTCTTCCATTTTGGGGCCACGATCTGATGATTTTCTTCTCAGGCACCCACCCCTTTAAAAACAAAGCCAACGTAACGCTGTAAAGCTTCAAATCATCAGAGAAAGATGATAACAGGTCATTCTTCACTCTTGCATCTGAAGTTGTACTCTGAAGACCTTCTAAGCATGTTTGTTGGTTAGTCAAAACGGCACTGAGATAGTTTTCAAAATCTTCAGCTTGAGAAGTCGGAAGAACAGCGCTAGCTTGGCTAGTAGTGGCATAAATGTTTGATAAGTATTCAAAGTTTTGCTCAGCAAGGTATCGACAGTCTTCAAGAGCACCAATAGTGTATTGAGAGAACGACAAGCTACCTTGAAGATACGAACCCACCAAGTTAAAGAACTTGCGTGTCTGGGACAAGGACTTTTGAAAAGAAATGCGACCATAGTCGAAGACGTTGCCATTTTGATTGGCAAGCACGGTTTTGCTACAGTAAGTAGGGTCTACGGTGGACCCGCAAATGGTTTCAGGTGGAACAATGGAGGATGAACTGATATCTGCGATGGAGAATGATGCCAAGAGAGAGAAGGAAAGCATATAGCAAAGCGAGAATATGAGGACAGAAATGTTAAGAGCCATTGGTTTTTTGAATGAAGGTTTTAGGTTTGTTGTAGTAGCTAGGGATGAACATAAGGTGCTTGCTAGTTGGGCATATATATAGAAGGAAAAACATATTTTCTCATTGTAAGAATTTGTGAGAATGAAAGCTTTGCTGGTTGGAAGTCAAATGAAAGAGTTTTTGTTAGTGTTTTTGAGCTTGTTGCCATGGCTACCACGAACGTAGTCAAGTTCCAACCTACCATTTTGAATCTTTTTTATTGGAAGTTTAATTAGGAAGCATACATTAAGTTTAATTAC